TCACACACACACACACACACACACACACACACAGAGAGACACACACACACACACACACACACACACACACACACACACACACACACACACACACACACACACACACACACACACACACACACACACACACACACACACAGAGATCAGTTGTTTTCATGGAAGCTTTTTTGTGATTATTTAATTTTAAGTGTCAGTTTTATGGGATTAGTTTTGTTTCATAAAGATAAAGCAGCACTCTGAGTTTAAGAGGGAAAAAACTGAGGCAAGCAAAAATAAATGTAATTAAAAAAAAACTGTAAGTTGCAAACACATCATTTGTGTAGTCATGGAAACTATAAGTCTGTTTTCTTTGTTTTAACAGGATTTTGTTTGCTTGTTTCTTGTTTCTCAGTGGTCAGACTTTGCTCTCGCTGCAACGAGCCGTGTAGGACAGAGAGAGAATACACAGACTATACAGAGACGCTGGATGAGAAACCAATGTGAGTTTGGAACATTGAACAATGTGAATGTATTCTAGTAGACCTCAACAATGGAACTATGATCAGTAGAAATGGCCGTGACCTTTGAACTCTTAGTTCTGCTTGATTCTGAGAAAGTGCTGCTTTATCTTTATGACACAAAACTAATCCCATAAAGTTTAAATTGGACTTTATATTAAACAATGCTTTGTGAATATTGTACGACGAGAAGAGAGAGGCAGAAACTCAGAGACAGAATCAATCCTTTATTCAGGCAGAAGCATGACCATCATCAGCACTCACATGTTGCATTATGGGAAATGTAGTACTCAGGTGTTTTGGAACTACAACCTTTATAAAAGTCAGGAGATGCTTCAAATTTGACATATTTGTTTACATTCTGTGTTTTTCGTGGATTCCTTGACTTTATGAATGTAAAATATTTTCCCTTTAAGGTCAATTCTCATTAAAGTCAGATGTAAAGTTCTTGTGATGAAGCATTTTGGAGTACAACCCTTAAAAAGTACACATGTAGATACACAGTAAACTTCATAATGTAAACAAAGTTACTTTAGAGTCTGAACATGTTTTATTGCATTGTTGAGAGCTCATAGAAAAGGTACACTGTCAGGTTTGGGAATGTCCTCGAGAGAATGTTTAAATATAGCTGCCACACAAACATCTGCTGTTAGAAACTAGACCTTAAATATAAACTTCATTTTTCAAAGAGCCGCAAAGCGTTCCTCCAACGCGACGGAAAGAGTCGCCTGTTACTCAGAGCTGGAAGTTAACAAAGACATTTCTGTATCGCTGAACAGAGAATAGAGAGGTGCAGGAAAGAGTCCTAAACAAGGCATGAGTCAGCGTTTCATCACTTCCTGTCCCTAAACGTTATCACGCCCAACATTAGCCTCCTCTAGCTTAGCGGTGGTGACGTGAAGTCATGTGACCGTGCTGTAGTTCATTTATAGCCCAACATTAGCCACCTTTAGCTTAGCGGTGGTGACGTGAAGTCATGTGACCGTGCTGTAGTTCCTATATAGCCCAACATTAGCCTCCTCTAGCTTAGCGGTGGTGATGTGAAGTCATGTGACCGTGCTGTAGTTCCTTTATAGCCCAACATTAGCCTCCTTTAGCTTAGCGGTGGTGACGTGTCATGTGACCGAGCTGTAGTTCTTTATAGCCCAACATTAGCCTCTTTAGCTTAGCGTGGGTGGACGAGTCATGTGACGACCGAGCTGTAGTTCTTATAAGCCCAATCATTAGCCACCTTTAGCTTAGCGGTGTGACGTGGTCATGGACCGTGCGTATTCCTTTATAGCCCAACATTAGCCTCCTTTAGCTTAGCGGTGGTGACGTGAAGTCATGTGACCGTGCTGTAGTTCTTTATAGCCCAACATTAGCCACCTTTAGCTTAGCGGTGGTGACGTGTCATGTGA